TAGACATATATCAAATACTGAAATAGCATCAATTATATGAAAACTCCCCAAAAAGAAAAGTCAGGGATCAGGTGGTTTCACTTCAGAATTCTACCAAACCATTAAAGAAAAACTAGTAGTACCTATATTACATAACCTCTTCCATAACATAGAAAGAGAAGGAATACTCCCCCAACACATTTATGAAGCAAATGTCACCCTGATCCCCAAACCAGGAAAAGACCCAACAAGGAAAGAAAATTATAGACCAATTTCTTTAATGAATATACATGCAAAAATGTTTAATAAGATCCTAGCAAACAGAATCCAGCAACACATCAAACTATACACCATGACCAAGCTGGTTTTATTGCAGGGTCTCAATGTTGGTTCAACATACATAAATCTATAAATATAATACACCACATAAATAAAACAAAAAACAAAGACCATCTGATTCTCTCAACTGATCCAGAAAAAGCTTTTGATAATATCCAGCATCCTTTCATGATTAGAACACTTAAGAAAATAGGTATAGAAGGGACATTTCTTAAACTGATAAAGGCCATCTACAGCAAACCCACAGCCAATATCATATTGAATGGAGTAAAATTGATAACATTTCCACACAGATCAGGAACCAGGCAAGGTTGCCCATTGTCTCCACTGCTATTTTACATCATAATGGATTTGTTATTTTACATCAAATGGATTGTCTCCACTGCTATTTTACATCATTAGCCATCGCAATCAGGCACGAGAAGGTGATCAAGGGTATCCAAATACGGTCAGAGGAGATCAAACTTTCACTCTTTGCAGATGATATGATTTTACACCTGAAAAACCCCAGGGACTCAACTACAAAACTCTTAGAAGTGATCAAGGAATACGGCAGTGTTTCAGTATACAAAATCAATACTCACAAATCAGTACCTTTTATATATACCAATAATAGCAAAGCTGAAAAATAAGTCAAGAACTCTATTCCTTTTACAGTAGTGCCAAAGAAGAGGAAATATTTGGGAATTTACCTAACAGAGGACATGAAAGATCTCTATAAAGAGAACTATGAAACTCTGAGCTGAAAATGTTAACAAATGGAAAAACATATATGCTCATGGCTGGGAATAATCAACATTGTTAAAATGTCCATACTACTCAAAGCAATATACAATTTTAATGCAATCCTTATTAAAGCTCCACTGTCATACTTTAAAGACCTCAAAAAAATAATACTGCGTTTTATATGGAATCAGAAAAAACCTTGATTAGCCAAGACATTACTCAGAAATAAAAACAAATCAGGAGGAATCACACTACCAGATCTCAGACTATACTATAAATTGATAGTGATCAAAACAGCATGATACTGGCACAAAAACAGAGAGGTAGATGTATAGAACAGAATAGAGAACCAAGAGATGAACCCAGCTACTTATTGTCATTTGATCTTTGATAAGCCTATCAAAAACATTCAGTGGCAGAAAGACTCCCTACTTAACAAATGGTAATGGATGAACTGGCTTGCAACCTGTAGAAGACTGAGACTGGACCCCTACCTTTCTTTTTCTTTTTCTTTCTTTTTTTTTTTTTCCTGCAGTTTTTGGCTGGGACCAGGTTTGAACCTCCCACCCCAGGTATTTGGGGCTGGCGCCCTATTCACTGAGCCATGGGTGCCACCCAGGACGCCTACCTTTCACTGTTAACAAAAATTGACTCTCACTGGATAGAAGACTTAAAACTAAGACATCAAACTATAAAGATACTTGAAGAGAGTACAGGGGAAACTCTTGAAGAAATTGGCCTGGGAGAATACTTTATGAGGAGGAACCCTTGGGCAATTAAAGCAACACCAAAAATACATTATTGGGATCTAGTCAAACTAAAAAGCTTCTGCACAGCCAAGAACACAGTAAAGCAAGCAGACAGCCCTCAAAATGGGAGAAGATATTTGCAGGTTATGTCTCTGACAAAGGTTTGATAACCAGAATCCACAGAGAACTTAAACATATTAACAAGAAAAGAACAAGTGATCCCATCTCATTGTGCCAAGAGATTTGAATAGAAACTTCTCTGAAAAAGACAGGCGCATGGTCTACAGACACATGAAAAAAATGCTGATCATCCATAATCAGAGAAATGCAAATCAAAACGACTTTGACATATCATCTAACTCCAGTTAAGAGTAGCCCACATAACAAAATCCCAAAACTATAGATGTTGGC